TCGATTCTAGATCACTTGCAGCGATTTCGTTCTTTCTTTTCCAGCTACTCTTTGCAGATTTCAGTTTTAGGTTAGGTTAGGGTACCATTACACGACATTTGCTTCGTTCATTTTTAATCATCATCTGCAAAAAAAAACCAAAAAAAAAAAAAAATATAATACGAGCGAAAGGTGGGAAAATTTCACGAGAAACAGGCTGACAGGGAAAGAAATGGAAGGCTGTGTACTTGGCACGTTTGCTCAGCTGGTCGTTTTCTGTAAAAAAAAATGCCACTGGGAAACTGCCCTTTGGCCAATTACCTTTCCGATTTCATCCGTCCATTAATCCTGCTGCTTACTTTCGATCAATTTCAACTAGAACTGAAAAACTTTTGTCCGTATTTGTACGTCGGTCGTATCCCTTTCTTTGAACATCTCTCCAATTTTTCCACCCATGTGCCACGTACCTTGTCGTTGCTCGTTCGAAGAAACGAAAGAAATATCTTCAAATTTTCACGTTAATTCGACTCTTGGAAATGTTCAGTTCAATTTAATTCTTGAAAGTGTTGCCCGAGATATCGATATCAATGGGTGAATCCAAATAAGGATTGACCCACTGATGGGACTACGGAGAAACACGTGAATATGAGCGGTTAATCGTCGGAGACACGCGAGAGGAAGAGGAAGAGGAAGAGGAAGAGGAAGGTCGGCGCAGAAAAACCAGTCTCTCTCCAGCGAGCATTGCTGTAACACGTTTTATATAGCCGATCGTCCTGCAAAAGGGGTTAACGAGGCTACCTAGGGGTAGCCAGCAGCCAGGGAAATTTTCGGGGGTGCCTGAGGACGGGGTTGTTGCAGAGGCAGCTGCAACACGAGCAGGCGAACCAAGCCGAAAGAGGCCGAATAGTAGGTCCCTGACAGCTGCACAGAGGTCGGTGCTTTAACCAACAGCTGCACCGGCCTCACGTTCACAGTCCGCTTGCATTTCAACCCCCTCCCCTGGCCACTGGTCCCCATCGTTCTTGCATTTTTCCATCGCCTTTCCTCTCCTCCTTCTTCTTCATCATCATCCTCTCTTTATTTACCAGACTGTCTGACGAACACTACCTGTCCATGCCAGAATTTCTTCGATTTTTCTCTCCTCTGTTATGTAGTTTTTCTATAGAGCAGTGGCTCTGTTCGGCGGGACAGGTAGCAGCGAGACAGACAGAGAGAGAGAGAGAGAGAGAGGGGGGGGGGAGGTTCAGAGGGGAGAACGTTCGATTGAAGCTCATTGTCGCTAGTTCCACGAAAGGTCAGGCACGAAACGACGACGACGCCGGCTAACAGTCAGAGACCGAAGAAAAATCGATAGGTACGTTGGCCACGAGCCGTGAAATTCACTTCCTCCAGGGGAGGAAAAATATGACTATCCGACTAGCCGTTTCCAACGTTTAAAGGGATATTGGCCCCGAGGTGTTCGATGGTAGCCCCGTGGAAACGTGGAAAGTTTTCACGAGAAAGGGCCTCGTTGCGTGTCGCAGGTTGCGGTTTCCTCGATCCTTGCGGCTGTGTTCGATCAGCTGACGGCCACGACAGTCTATTGTCAATGGGTCCCAGCGGAATGGTACCTGCGAATCTGGGACGTTTCGTGCCGCTTCCTTTGCTGTTTCATTTCTTTGTGCACGAGTCTCAAACTTGGAATATCATCTTGTCGCCAAATTTCTTACTTCATTTATTTCTACGAAATCTGCAAGTCTTTGGACATTTGTTGTTGCTCCAGTGTTATTCTTATTTTATTCACATTTCTAATATATCTGATACGTTACAGTGAATATTCACGATGAAATACATGTTATATTCTGATTGAACTTGATACACATTCTAATTCCTGCGTAAGAGGAACAAAATCCATTTGCAGCAAACACTAGAACGAAAATATAATGATTACTTATACTTTGCTTATACTATTCTGTGTTTCGTCCCAACAAGTGCAAACTATGATAAAATTATTTACACGATGAAACCTTGACATCTACAACTCACTATACGATACTTTATATAAAAATACGAAAAAATATCGAAGAGATGCCATTTCAATTGCCTTTGATCAGCTGACAATGAATACTCTCACTTGCCGTGAGAGAGGGAGAGGTTACCACACAGCAACACACAACGTGTCGGATCCAAGTTTAAACACGGCGTCAGACGTTGCCGT